CACATGGACCGCCTGGGTGGCTCAGTCGGTTAAGCGTCTGACTTCGGCTTAGGTCATGATCTCACGGTTCATGGGTTTGAGCCCCGCATAGGGCTCTGTGCTGACAGCTTCCTCAGAGCCTGGAGCCTGTTTCAGATGCTATATCTCCCTGTCTCTCTGACCCTACCCTGTTCACGCTGCCTCTCTCTCTCTCTCAGAAATAAATAAAACATTAAAAAACTTTTAATAAAAAGTGTAACACGTAAGATATGCACATAGTGTATTGACAAGTCAATAGTATTTTTTGGCTAACTTTTTATATTGGCACAATACTTAAGTTTTAATCAAATAACAAATTTATGATTGAATTCATAAAAACCATAAAAGTACAGTTTCCTCCCTAGTCCTACTTTCTAATGGAAACAGTTTCTGTTTTGGACTATTTTTATGGATTCATAACTCAAGAAATAATTTCTAAATAATAATGAAAAATACCTGATTACTTTTCTACACTTCTGAGGAAGTAAATTATATGTTCTCAAAGCTCTAGAAAATTTAAAATGCTTTAGAACACCTTAGAAAATATATCCTAAATCAGTTCTGAGCATACATACTGAATATTTGAAAATACATAACTATATTAGTCAATGGTTCCCATGCTCATCAGTAAAGGCAGAAAGATAAATCAGGATATCCATATTTATGACTGCTGAAGCATGAGAATAGAGTATAAATATATAAATATATATGATCAATAAGTAAATGCAGCAGTGTTAAAAAAAATTTGCTAACAGACTTAGGAGACGAAAATCATCTGTATTCCACATCCATAAGTATGCCAATAAAATTCACATGAAGGATTATTGGAGGAATTATATTAATATTTAAAGCATTTAAAAGCGTTCCTGTCAAAGTAAGAACTAATGAGAGAGAGAGAGATGGGGGTGGGTAAAGAACGAATTAGTTTCAAAACTAGCTAATTAAATATCAAGCATTAACTAAAGCTTCTATCAGGGGAAAGGGGGAAAAACGAACCTGTTCGACTATTTAAAAATATACTTTTAATACTTAAAAAATACTGTTTAATGGAGAAGTAGTAGTATAGAGAGTTAATATTATGCCTAGCTAGTCTTCTATAACTTATTTCGAAAGTGACACCTAACCTAATTCTCTTTGCCTCCACAGATTCATTAACACCATGCATTTCTCTCTGTATTATTCTTTGCTTCCTGTGACTTAGTTTTCTTAAGAAAAGTGATTGACTACAAATTCCTGCCAGCAAGAGGTTGTTTATTACCATTATAATTATTGTTGTTGTTGTATTATTTTATTTCTCTATAGTCCTCACAACAGTTTTGAACAAAAGTACTCAGTTGGTACATACTTAACAGGTATTTCCAGAGTAACATTTCTCCAATAATCTAAATACCAAATTTAATTTTTCTGGGTTATTTTTATGCAATGATAATTTATTTTCTTTTATAAGTTTATTCGCCCCAAAAGGTACGGCTAGTTATTGTTTAATTGCCATTTGAAAAGTACTTTATCTTTCACATGGCTTCTGGCAAATACTATAGGCTAAAATGTTGTGTGGCATCTCTTAATCATTGTATTTTCTCTTTGTATTTATGTAAGTCACTACACTTATGTAAGAATTCTAATGTATCATTCAAATTTTGTGTTCATATTCTATAAAAATGATTTTTACTCATTGCCAAGCACAAAAGGAAAAATCCACAGGTATAAATCTGGAGATTCTCTTGAACTCTAGTTGAATGAATTTCAGAAACTGAAGGCATTATTTTAGAATCAAAAATTAACTCATGTCATTTGCCATCTAAAAAATAAGATGACAGTTTATCCACACTCACTTTCATAGACTGAAACATCTGTATGTTCTGCGCACAACAGGTGTCCAATAAGTATTTTGAGTGACTGTCAATAGTGACTCTTAATGACTTCATAATGAAGTCATTATTCAAGTGCCATATGAAAACTGTTTCTTAGAAATTACATAGTGACAGTTTTCAGCTGACAGGCACTGTTACATACATTTTGATAATACAAAATACATTCTATTTTAAAATACTATTTGACTGGAATAAAATTTACTACTTTAAAAACTTTCAGAAGTGTATTACAACAAACAATGAAAATAATTAAAATATGCGTAGCCATGAAACAATAAAGTCTTATCAAAAGTGTTCAAATAAAAGATGACAATGAAATGAATGATTAGCTTTCAAAGTAGCAGCATCTGTTCTGTGAAGAATCCAAGAAATGCTTTCCAATTTCCATGCATCAACTCCTTCATTTAAAAGAAGGAATTTTTCAAAAAAGACCTATGAAACTAAACAATATGTAGGGTACTGTGAAACTGGAATTTTAAAATGCATGTCTTATTTGTACCCTGTTTATATTTAAAAAAATGATTTGAAGTATATCAAATGATATATCCTCAAAAATCTTCATAGGGGTGCCTGGGTGGCTCAATCGTTTAAGCATCAGACTTGATTTCGGCTCAGGTCATTATCTCACGGTTCATGGGTTTAACCCCGTGTGGGGTTCTGTGTTGACAGTGCAGAGCCTACTTGGGATTTTCTCTCTCCCTCTCTCTCTCCCTGTGCCCTCTAAATAAACAAACTTACAAAAAAATCTTCATTTTTTGCTATAAAAATCATTTTTCTTCTTCTAGTGAAAGCCTATACCTTCAATATCCAAAAGCGGCTAGAAGTCTGTATTCATTTGCTTTAGAAGAAATAACAATTCAAATATTCATGAATATAATTTTCTGTTAATTGCCAAAAAGTTATACTGGCCAGCATTGACGAAATAGTTTGGATCTGACTATTGAAATAGCCCTAATACATAAAATATATTATGGATTTTTGTATAAAATATATATAAATTAATTGCATTTGTGTTAGTGTAATTCCCTTTTTCCTGAGTGGCATAATTTAAAAATGATAATTTGGAGGTTTTAAAGCAGCGTGTTAGAAACACTGCTCACATCACAAAATAGCTATTGACGCACTTTGTCCAAATTCAGTTAAATAAAAATGAGTGCAACTGAGCATTTGAAAACAACTGTTTTTAAATTGTATATTTAAAACTAACTGGAACTTTAAAGAATTGTTTATAAAATCATAGAATTTTAAGATAAATGTGGTTATGATCATTCATAACTTTCTCATTTTCAAAAGAGGAAATGAAGGTACAGAGAGACTAAAATGTAATGCATACCATATAACTTTTTGGTGGTAGAATTGTGACTAAAATGTCATTGGTCCACTTGCCGAAAAATACTTCTTTTTTTTTTTTTTAAATTTATTTCTAGGAGAGAGAGAGAGAGAGAGACAGCGTGAGCAGGGGAGGGTAAGAGAGAGAGGGAGTCACAGACTCTGAAACAGACTCCAGGCCCTGAGCTGGCAGTCAGCCCAGAGTCCGACGCGGGGCTCGAACCCACGAACCGAACCGTGAGATCATGACCTAAGCGAAAGTCGGACGCTTAACCGACTAAGCCACCCAGGCATCCCCCGAAAAATACTTCTTAAGCCACTGGAAACACTTTACAAATTTTGTGGTGTGATTGTGTGGAACAAACTCAACCGTATACTACAGCAAAATGAAAGCAACATGGAATTCTTAACAAAACTAATGCTTTTAAGTAATAGTAAAAGCAATAACAAGGGTTATTTGTTTTTGGTTTTGATTTTTGTTTTTTTGAGTCCCTAATCATAATATTTACTTTGAAAGTAAAATAGAGAAGGAGAAAGGCTATACTTTTTTCTGTGTGTGAAAATGTCTTTATTGAGATAAAATATATATAAATATAAAATTTGCCATTTTATCTGTACACTTCAGTGACATTAATTACGCTGACAATATTGTACAGCCATTACCACTGTCTTGTTTAAAAAGTTTTTATCACTGCAAACAGAATTTCTATATCTAATATGCAATAATTATGTTCCATTCGCTCTTCTCTCATCCCTGGTAAATTCTAATCTATTTTCTATCCCAATGAACTTGACTAGTCTAGACATTTCATATAAGTAGAGTCATGCAATATTTTGCCTTTTTTCCCCTCTCAGGCTTATTTCACTGACGTATTTCCAAGGTTTATTTATGTTGTAACATATATCAGAACTTCATTTATTTTTTTGGGTCAATACTATCCATATACATATGTTACCAGAATTAGTATATATAGTTATGTATGGATGGATAGTTAGGTTGTTTCCATCTTTTGGCTATTGTCTCAACTCTCTTTTATGTTTGGATAATTAATAAGCTTTGAAATGATTGCTTATTTTAGTGTGGCATCAACTTTTGTTTCTACCATTGGTTAATCAGACAATTGAAAAGAAAACAATTTCAGATATGATAATTATTGGCACAAAAACAAAAGCCAAAATTAAATCTTTAAATTTTTAATATTTTTCTCTTTGGTATACACTTTGTTTCAAACTATTTTGCCTTGACACACTACAATACAGTTAAAGGGAATAACCAGATCGCATAGTTGAATATTAAAATTTTATATTTTAAAAGCTTTCTCTCTTTCTTTGAACATTAATATAATCATTAGATAATGATTATATATATTTTTCTCTCCTGAGTTAATGAAAATAATTCTTTAAAATGAAATATTTGTAAAGAATTATTAGTACTTATGCCAAACATGAAGGTCAAATTAATGACTACTATTAGTGGGAGAAAATTCATTCAAATACCGTCAAAAGAGAACATGGAAAATTACATGCAGCTTTAAGTTTCTGGCCAAACTATTTACTTTAGTACAAATTATTTTAATTATCTTCTCCCACGTAAGTTCTATTTTGAGGGGAACAAAAAGATAACAATTCAAAAGCATCGAAAGAAAAATCCCAACTTGCTATTCATTTTCGACACACAAAATCATAGATTGTATTTGTTTTTAATATGAACATATTAAATGTGTTTGGAGAAAAGGGAAAATAACTGTTTTATTAAAGTATTGAATTTTAACATTTTTCCAGATGAATTCAAGTTCTTTATGAAAAGGCTACCCATGAATTATTTCCTCAACACATCTACCATAATGCATTTGTGGACAATGGATTCTAATTTTCAGCGCCGCTATGAACAACTGGAGAACAGCATGAAGCAACTATTCCTAAAGGCGCAGAAAATTGTGCACAAGCTCTTTAGCCTTAGCAAGAGGTGTCATAAACAACCCCTCATCAGTTTGCCAAGACAAAGGTAAGGCCTGTGTGACAGTATAGACAGCTAAGGATATTGTTTGGATAGTGCATTGTATTTATTTTCTAATTGTGGACATAGTGATATACATAGTTGTGTTATAATTTCTATTATTAGAGATAATTTGAAAACAACATTTTCTCTTAAGTCTCAAAATAATAAATAGTATTTTCCAAAGCAATAATCCAGTGGGGAACCCATATACTGACACTTCCTTGTTTTTCCTTTTCTTTTATTATCATAATCAAGAAATCATTCTGACTGCTTTGGATGGTAGTCGACTAATAAATGCATTACAGTGAACAGAAAAACACAAAACCCTACAGCTATATTGTAAGCATAGGATTTAAGCAGTACCACCAAGTAAAATTTCTCAATATATAATTTTCAAATAAAAGAATTTAAAGTTTATTTTCTTCGAGCAGTGCTAATAATAAGTGAATCATCATGAATAAACCTTAGTCTACATGAATCTCTGAAAATTGCTGAAAAGTTGTAAAAATTTGTCTGAAAAATGACAGACTGGTAAAATATTTGTGTCTGAGCTATTTAGGAAAGCACAGGTTTTGGATTTGTTGGTTCTGAGTTGTCGATTGATCAGTGCAGTGAGAAGCCGTATTTATTTATGTGAAGTCAGATTTAAAAAATACAGTAAAATTGGGCTGCCTGGGTGGCTCAGTTGGTTGAGCCTCTGACTCTTGATTTTGGCTCAAGTCATGATCCCAGGAACCTGGGTTAGAGCCCTGGGTTATGCTTTGTACTAAACATGGAAACTGCTTAAGATTCTTTCTTTCTTTCTCCTTCTGCCTCTTTTCCCTGCTTGTGCACTCTCTCTCTAAAATGAAATTTTAGAAAATATAGCAGAATAGAAAGCTAAGGAAAAATATAAGAAAATATCATTAAACAAAAATGCATCTGTATCAGTATCTCTGTTATATAACGCTTGCTTTTTGACTTGCTTAAATCTTTATGAGGAGAAATAGATACAGAGTTTGTCACTGAAAAAAACAAAACAAAACCCTGAACGTCCATGCATTTTTAAAAGTTCAATTTCAGGGGTGCTTGGGTGGCTCAGTCAGTTAAGTATCTGACTCTTGGTTCTGGCTCAGGACATGATCTCACAGTTTCATAAGTTTGAGCCCCACATTGGACTCTGTGTCAGCAATGCGGAACCTCATGGGATTCTCTGTCTCCCTCTCTCTCTGACCCTCCTGCATTCCAGCTGTCTATTTCTCTCTTTCTCTCAGGATAAATAAATAAACTTATAAAAATGTTTAAAGTTCCATTTCAAAATAAATCATTGATATTCTTTTAACTCAGTGGTTTTTAGGCTATTCAAAATGTCTGCAAACATTACCACTTGAGAACATTTTCACTGTCCCCAAAATCAACCCAGTATCAATTAGCAGTCTGTCCCCATATTCTCAAACCCAGCCCTAGGATATTTGCCCCTAGAAATTTGTAACTTGCTGTTTGTCCCAAAAATTTGCCTATTTTGGACATTTCATATAAATGGAATCATACAATATGTGGTCTTTTGTGATTGGCTTACTTTACTTAGTAGAGTGCTTTTGGGTTCATCCATACTGTCCAACATATGGGTAGCATGGGTATATCACATTTTGATTATCCATTATTATTTGATGGATGTTTGGGTTGTTTCCACTTTTGGGCTACTATGAATAATGCTGCTATGAATATTCATGTACAATTTTTAAAGTGGGCATATATTTTTAATTTTCTTGGGTATGTACCTAGGAGTGAAATTGACAAGTCCTAAGATAACTTTATATTTAACATTTTGAGGTGATGCCACAGTGTTTTCTAAAGTGGCTGCACCATTTTATATTTCCACCAGCCATGAGTGACAGTTCTAATCATTCCACATCTTTACCACCACTTGTTATTGTCAGTCCTTTTGATTATAGTCATCCTAGTGGATGTGAAGCAGTACATTTCTGTGGGTTTTTTTTAAGTGTTTATTTATTTTTGAGAAAGAGAGAAACAGAACATGAGCAGGAGTTGGGGAGGAGCAGGGAGAGAGGGAAACATAGCATCTGAAGCTGGCTCCAGGTTTTGAACTGTCAGCATAGAGCCTGACCAAGGTTCAAACCTATGAACTATGAGATCATGACCTGAGCCAAAGCTGGACCGTCAACCAATGGAGCCACTCTGGTACCCCACATTTTTGTGGTTTTAACTTACATTTCCCCAATAACTAATGATGCTAACTCTCTTTTTATGTGTTTCTTGCCCATTTTGTATCTTCTTTGAAGAAATTTATATTTAAATTCTTTCCTATTTTTAAATTGTCTTTAATCTTTATTATTGAGTTTAAGCATAAGTTATACATTTGAATGACAGTCTCTTTTCAGCTATATGATATACAAATATACCCTTCAATTTTCTGAGACATATTTATATTGTCTTCATCGATCTTTTCTTTCTTTCTTCAGTCTAGCTAAAAGTTTGTCAATTTTGTTGATCTTTTGAAAGAAATTTTAGTTTTCTTAATATTCCCTATGATTTTCCTCTTCTTTATTTGACTTTTCCACTGTAATCATTATTATTTCCTTCCTCTGTTTGCTTTGTGTTTATCATGATTTTCTTTCTCTAGTTTTGTAAAGAGGAGAGTTAGGTTAGTTATTTGAATACTTTCATCTTTTTTAGTATAGGCTTTCACAGTTATAAATTTCTCTCTATGCACTGCTATGGGCTTTGTTATTTTATGCATCCTGTAAGTTTCTTATTCCCTCCATGCATAAAATAAATTTTTATATATCTGTCTGCATACTTCCAGGGGACATTTCCTAATAGAGAATCATGGCTAGGGAAAGCAACTGTTATTTAATTACAATGAACTGTATGTTTTATGTGTGTGCGTTAAGTGTAATTTGTAAACTACTGAATTAGATGGTTCTATACTCCAATGAAATAGAAAATGCAAGAAGATGAGGTAGGTTAGGAAGCAAATTGATGAGTTTGGTTATTAAGATGTTCTGTTAAGCAAGCACAACTAGAACAGTATATATACATCTGAGCTCAGAGGAGATCTGAATAGCTGGGATGGGAATTATCAGTGCATGTGAAATGGCGTGAGTGGAATATGATACAGTGGAAAATGCGTAGACAGAATCTGAAGATATATTTCAGGGGAAAGTGGAGAAATGGAACGTGGAAATGAGCAGATGGTGGGGTAAAATATATCGTGAGGGCCACGTTAATTTCTAGCAAAAATAAATAAAATTTAAACATACAAATATGCCATAAAAGTGCAAAATTTGTAACAAAAACGTGAAGATATGAAAAAAATTCAAGTTGGATGTGTACAGAATAAATAAACAGAATAAAATAAAAGTGTTTGGAACTACATTGAATGGAAAATATGGAACTAAATTAAATAAACTATGGAAATACTTCTTGTTTTCTAAAACTTTTAAGCTAAGTAAATCAAAGATCACCAGAGGCTTTTCTTGACTTTCTTTTTTGAATTTATCATAATTCCTATATTGGCTATTACTCATCACACACACAAAATGTAGACTTCTTTCTAGATGAGAAATTTTATTGAGTTTATATTTTTCCCATCATTTCTTTTACTAAGAATGTGAGATTTATTTCTGCTTTGCTTTGCTTTTTTTCAATTTAATGGAGTAATATAAAATGACATTAGGAGACCACAAACTATGTACTACAGTCTGTTAGGACACAGCAGGGTAAAAAAGAGGTTGAATATTTGTGGCGTAAGTTTTCAAACATTTTTGAAAAGAAGTAGATAAGCAATACTTGCAACTCACTTCCATCTAAGAATTTTTTTGTCCTTACCTTATGAAATTTTTCTCAGCTTTTTTCTTTGTTTCATCTCACTCTTAGAATTGGTCTGTTACACTAAAATGTTGGAAAATAACCAAAAACAAAATGAGACCTGAAAAATGAACATCAACTAGTAAGATGATTTCTTGACCCTTTCTGTATAATGACACGTAGGTTGAAGTTTTTCTTGTAATACATACTGTAATTCTTCCTTGAGATAAAGAAGAAAACTCAGATCAATCTCTCAGAATTTATATTGTCACCGCTGTTGGATCTAATGAAGTCACGTGACATTAAAATTCTCTTTCTTACTTGAATAAATTGAGAAGTGGTAATCTGGCTTTCTTGAGGTAGTTCCCCTTTGCTGCTATTCTAAGGTTCTTGAGATTATACAATCATATATTCATTTCATTGAAGGACAATAATTCTAGCAATTATTAAAAAGTATTCATCCATAATTCTTACAAAATAACCACACTATTTTGTGAGGTCAAATCATTTACAGAGCAGTCTCAGGTACATAGAAATACATTTAAGGTGTGTTGGTAAAAGTTTACCAACCAACTCTCAAGGTGGAGGGGGATAAAAAACTTACAGCGTTTGCTTAGTTTTGATTCATGCCCAATTGGCTCCTCTGTGCTAGTACATGCAGGCAGCAGCAAACCACTAAAAAATGATTAAGATGTTTTCATGAAATATTCTCTTCTTCATTAATAATGGTAGGTAAGTTTGATAAAATCCCTTGTCTACTGTCACAGAGAAGAATCAGTTCAGATCTATGTCACTCTTATCTAAGAACTATGTCATGCACTTCCTGTATATGCTCAACCACAGGGTTTAGCAAATTGGCACATGGCTATATCTGGCCCTCCACCTCTTTTGTATCAGCTCCTAAGGAAAGACTGTGTTTCACATTTCAAATTGTTGGAAAAAATTAAAAATAGAATAGCAAGGGTGCCCGGGGGGTGGGGGGGGCTCCGTCAGTTAAGCATCAACTCCTGATTTTGGCTCAGGTCAGGATCTTGTGGTTGGTACTTGAGTTGGAGTCATGCATCTGGCTCCGCGCTGGAGGCATAGGGCTTGGTTAGGATTCCCTCTCTTCCGCTTGTCTACCCCTTTTATGCTGCACTCTCTCTCTCTCTCGAAATAAATAAACAAACTTTAAAAAGGTACAATAGCATTTTTGA